AGAAGCTGGGGGGGGGGAGTCCGCTGCCTCAACCAAATGCCCGGTGGAAGAGCTTCGTCTTGCAGGCCCTGCAGAATTGCAATAAGTCCCGCAGGGCCCTGATCTCACACGGGAGCTCATTCCACCAGGCAGGGGCCAGGGCTGAAAAATCCCTGGCCCTGGTCGAGGCTAGCCAGACATCCCTGGGGCCAGGGACCACTAACAGATGTTGATCTGTGGACCTCAGTGCCCTCCGGGGCTCACATGGGGAAAGGCAGCCTCATAGGTATGCTGGCCCCTGGCCATATAGGGCTTTAAAGGTAAGTACCAGCACCTTGAAATGGATCCGGAATTCAATAGACAGCCAGTGCAGTTCATGCAGCACCGGGTAGATACGAGCCTGCACAGATGTCGCCGTCAACATCCTCGCTGCCGCATTCTGCACTAGCAGCAACTTCCGGAGAAGAGTCAAGGACAGCCCCACATAGAGAGAGTTACAATAATCCAGTCTGGAAGTGTGACTAAGTCTCGGGGAGTAAGATATGGGGCTAACTGTCTGATCTGCCTCAGATAGAAAAAGGCAGACCTGGCAGTGGTGGTGACCTGGGCCTCCATAGAGAGGGAGGTATCCAGGAACACCCCCAGACTCTTCACACTCAATGTAGGCACCAATGGAGCCCCATCAAAGGTTGGGAGTCTGATCCCCTGGACCAATCCCCTGCATCTCAGGTACAGGACCTCCATCTTAGATGGATTTAACTTCAGTCGGCTCTGTCGTAATCATCCAGCCACAGCCTGTAATGCCTCGTCAAGATGTCTTGGGGCCATATCTGAATGGCCATTCATCAGTAGATAGAGCTGGGTGTCATCCACATACTGGTAACAACCCAGCCCATATCTCCGGATAATCTGGGCATGGGGGCGCATATAGATATTAAACAGTATGGGGGAGAGGATCACTCCCTGTGGAACACCACATTCTAATGGGTGCCGCTGGGATAACTCCCCCCCCATGTGCCACCCTCTGTCCCTGACCCTGAAGGAAGGAGGCTAGCCATTGCAAAGCAAGCCCCCGTATCCTGGCATCAGCAAGGTGGTGGTTTAACACCTCATGGTCAAGCATACTGAACGCTGCTGATAGGTCAAGAAGAATCAGCAGCGCCAAACTGTCTCCGGAGATCATCCACCAGGGTGACCAGCACTGTCTCTGTCCTATGGGCAGGGTGAAAGCCAGACTGGAAGAGGTCCAGGACCTTAGCCTCATCCAAGGACACCTGAAGTTGTGTTGCCACTGCCCTCTACCAGGCAAGAGACATCTGTCATAACCCCAGCCTTCTTTGGGGGTCTCCCAACTAAATACTAATCAGGGCCAACCCTGTTTAGCTTCCAAGATCTAACAAGATCAGGCTAGCCTGGGCTATCCAGGTCAGGCTAAGCCATATTTTTATTTTTCATTTGATTGACTTTAGCTCCAGGAGCAGCCACGTCCTTAATTTCACGCTGGACTAAATGGTATGAATCAAGTTTCTCTAAAAATGATTTATATGGAGACTTGAATGTGTGAAAATATTGTACTTTGTTACATAACTGTTGCATTTATGTATTTCGGGACTTGGGAACCATTTTATAAACAGTTTTCTAGGACTACATGTTGTACAAGATGATACAGAGCAAACAAAAGTGCATACCTTATAGACTGTATCTTGCTACCCTCCCCTAGATATAAAACATTAATGACTAACATATTCATGGTGGCATAAGCTTCCATGGCCTAAGGCCTCCTTTATCACCTATTTATTTAACAGAATGAGCCCAAAATATCCAATATGATCTGCCAGCACTGCTGTTCTCTCAGTGACACAAGTCAAACAGGTCAGCCTCTAAGCAAAAGGATAAATAAATGCAAATTGGATGTGAAAAATGGCTTTACTCAGAAATCAGTGATAGTTATTTTAGTCTCCCAGAATAGACATCGTACTCAAAGGGGAGAAAAATTCAATGGGAGTCTCCCATATGAAGCTCTTGAATGAGAATTCATTAGCAAATCTGACACCAAAATGTGTTCTCAACAAATCCCGGGAAGTAATTTTCCTTCAGGATGACTTATACTACTAATCTTGCTCAGAATATTCATCACTATTGGCACCTAGCTGGGACATAGTCTGACTGTATTTCGCATGTGCTTATTTAATAGTATATATTTCTTCTCTGTATAGTTCTGAGACATACCTTCTGGTATCTCTTGCATTTCTTCACCTTTAGACTTCACTTTGTTTTAAAACATTAATGCATTTTTCTTTCTCTAGGTACTCAGGGAATGAAATATACTGGGTTCAGACGCGTAGAAGTGATCAGCTCATAGTTTATTAGTGATTCAGCAAGAGAAAGAAGACTGCAATCCCTGGCTGAATTTATGCCTGAAAAGGGTTACACCCAAAAACACCCCACTCCCAACGATAGGCTATTTACACTCTATTGTTTCCCAATTGGTTTACTCTAGGATCCCTGTCTCCCTACTGATCCATTCTAGGATCCTAGCAATCTATTGTTATGCATCCCAAGCTCAGTCCTTTTGCAAGGACAGTTCAGGCTCAATACATAACACCCCTCCCCCCAAAGTTCAGAGCCTCTTTAGCTGACAAAGTCCTTTAAGTACGCTGGTCGGCGCCGCTAATAGTTTGAGAAGCGTGGTTCCGCTGACGGGGCAGTGGGTTCAGGAACTGTGTTGGGGGCCGGCACCATCGCTGGACTGTGAGAGGTTGGTGACACCGGGATGTTGTTGGGGTCCCTGCCAAGGTTATAAGGAATTCTGCGGGGCTGCGGCCAATGGCTGTGTTCGGGGTTATCCGCTGGCCGAAGAGGAAGGCCGCCAGTTGGTGGTCCCAGCTGCCCTGGACGATCCTGCAGAGGGACTCCTTAGTTGTCCCCACCATCTGCTCAGCCTGGCCATTGGTTGCGGGGTGGAAGGGAGTGGAACGGATGTGTCGGATGGCATAGTAGTCCGTGAATTCCCAAAACTCGGACGAGGTGAGCCGTCCCATTGTCCGTTACGACGGTGTCTGGTATCCCATGTGTGCTGAAGATCCGCCGTAGGGCACAAATTGCTGCTCAGGACGATGTGAAGGGGACTATCACCACTTCTAGCCATTTGGAGTATGAATCCACCAGGATGAAGATCTGGCCCTGGAATGGGCCTGCAAAGTCAAGATTCCCACTGACACACCGGGGCCCTGGGGGACTCCGGCCCGGAACTCTTGGCACGTCAGGCAGCATTTAACAAAGTCCTCAATTTCGCTGTCCATGCCAGGCCACCAAACGCAGCTGTGGGCCAGCGCCTTCATACACAAGATTCCCAGGTGCGTTTCGTGTAAGGTTTGTGGTCTGTCACAACAGTGAAAGGCCACCCGTAGAGGTAGTCGTGAAACTTCTTTACACCTGCCACAATTGCCAGCACCTCTTTGTCAATCTGTGCGTAGTTGCACTTGGCCGAAGACAAGGTGCAGGAGTAGTAGACCATGGGGACCTCACGGCCATCTGGCAGCTGGTGTCCCAGGATGGCCCCCACCCCGTACAGGGAAGCATCGCAGGCAAGGACAACAGGGAGCGTCTCATCAAAGTGCGCTAGGACCGCGTTGGAGGTGAACAGGTCCTTGACAGCCTGGAACACTGTGGCATGCTTCTGGCCTCACACCCATGGAGCTTTTTTATCGAGAAGACGGTGTGGGGGCTCGGCGATCACAGCCTTGTGGGGCAGAAAGGAATGATAGAAGTTCAGCAGCCTCAAGAAGGCCTGGAGTTCTAGCTTAGAGGAGGGAGTTGGAGCATCAACGATGGCGTGGACCTTGTCGGGCGTCAGATGGATGCCTTGGGCGTAGACTGAGAACCCCAGGGACTCGACTTGCGGAACCCCCAGGAGACATTTTTCCGCTTCACCTTCAGGGCAGCAGTGTGGAAACGTTGCATGACGGTGTGCAGCCTCTCGGCAAAGGTCTCAGCTGTGGGGGTAGCGATCAAAACATCATCAAAGAACGGCTGGAACCCAGGGAAACCTTTAAAAAGACAGTCCATTAGATTTTGAAAGATCCCCGGAGCCATACTGACCCTGAATTGCAGCCGCTGCACTCGGAACACACCCCTGTGTATCAAAATCATCTAGGCCTCTGTGGTGGCATTGGCTACGAAGAGCTGGTGGTACGCCTGGGCCAAGTCCAATTTGTCGAAAACCTTTGCACCCACCAAGTATGCCAAAACATGGCTGACTACTGGAACAGGATAAGCGTGGTTCTGCAGGGCCTTGTTTATGATGCACTTATAATCCATGTAGATACGGACGTCCCCATTGGGCTTCACTGGGGTGATGATGGGGGTCTCCCAGAGGGCATGTGGCACTGGCTCTAAAACCCCCTGCACTACCAGGCAGCAAAGCTTTTCGTCTAGCTTGGGCCACAACACAAATAGGATGCGTCTGGCCTTCATACGGATGGGGCGTACAGCTGGGTCGAGGCCTAGGGAGACTGGCAAACTGGTGTAGCAACCAAGCATCCCATAGAAAATGACCAGGAACTCATCGCATACGTTGCTGAAGTTCATACGCCACATGTGACGCACCCCCATCACCCTGAATCCAGGGGAACAAACCATGACAGACCCAGTAAACTAGTAAGCCGCCCTTCCACCAACAACAAATCTAAAAGTCCTTCAAAGTTATTATACTGCACATGGAACTTGCCCCACCCTTTAATGGCCACCGGGTTCTTTTGGAAGTCTCTGAGGGTGAAGCCCGTGGGTTTTAGGCAGGGACCCCCTTGCGGGCAGAGTCTCCTGAGACACTCTTCTGAGATGATGATGGAGGACCCCGTGTCCAACTCCATTTCGCAAGGGGCCCCCTCTATTAAAATGGTTACTTTAATTTTGTTAGGGGTGTCCTAAGGCAAGTGTAGTACCTGGTGTTGGTGGACGGCTGTATTGTGGAGCTCTGCGGATTCCTGGTGAGCGGTTGGATGACGCCAGTTTCCTCGGGAGTGGCAGGCTGGTGTGATGTGGCCTTGTTTTCTGCAGGTTTGACAGATCGCATCACGGAAATGGCAGGAATAGCACTCGTGCTCTTCACCGCAGCTGGTGCAAGGTGCTTGAGCGATGGTCTTCACGTGCTGCTGGGTGGGCGCGGACAGTGGGTGCGAGTCCTGGCAAGCTGGGCAGCGTACCTGGAGTATTTCTTCCTTGTCCAAGGCGTCAGAGATCGGGGATATGGAGGCCTGATGCACAGAGTGGGCCTGGCGATCCCGTTGTGCCTTTTCAAAAGACGTGGCCATACATAGTGCCTTGTCCAGTTTGAGTTCGTTGGTACCAATGAGTTTGCACCGGAGTTTCTGTTTACAGACGCCCCATACAAACTGTGTTAAGAGGGTGTCCTTGAGATCTGGGAATTTGCAGTTTATGGCCAGTCTGCGGAGATCAGCCATAAAGTCAGTGGCCGCTTCATCGGACTTTTGATGGTGCGCCAAGAAGTCCATGCATTTCACCATTTTGGTTGGTTGTGGCGTGAAATGGCCGGTGAGGGCCTTGACGAGTTCATCATACGTGGCTGCTTCAAGGGTTTTAGGAGCAATGAGGCCCTGGGCTAGGTGTAGCGTGGCGATGCTGCATGTGCTGAGCGGGAGCTACTTCTTCTTGTCGGCGTCTGTGCCTTGGAACCGAACGAAGTACTTCAGCTGTTCTACCCACGCTTCCCAAAGCTCAGGGTGAGTGGGGTCGAATGCAGGAATGACTCCTGGAGTGGCAGCCATGACCCGTGGAGCGATGCGAGGCGCGGAGTCCTGGAGATCGTTGCACAGTGTGGTGCTGGAGGCTGGGTCAGGCTCGCTCATCGGGATCCCACCTTCATCGCCAGTGAAATATACTGGGTTCAGACACGTAGACGTGATCAGCTCATAGTTTATTAGTGATTCAGCAAGAGAAAGAAGTCTGCAATCTGCATCCCAAGCTCAGTCCTTTTGCAAAGACAGTTCAGGCTCAATACATAACAGGGAATGTACATACCTGCCTATGTATGTATATGCTTTATCTATCAACCATATTTTCCTTCAAAATTGGTTTGTACAGTAATGCCCTACTCATTTTTTCTTCACAACAACTCAGTGAGACAGGCTAGGCTGAGGTAAAACGTGACTAGTCCTACAGTGTGCTTCATGGCAAAGTGAGGATTTGAACTGGGGTTTCCCAGTCCAAGTATGATGCTCTAACCACCCAACACCACACTGCTCTGGCTTCGTGTATCGGATAAAGTGGGCTCTAACCCATGAAATCTTACACTACAATTAATCTTTTATTCCTGCAGTTGCTACAAAGCTTTTTGTTGCTTTGATCAATCTTGTAGGCTTCAAAATGACTAATCTACTTTCTGGATTTGCAGACATAATTTATAAATCATGTAAATCACATCAAATACCTTTATTAAGGATTTGGTACAAACCATGTACTAGTTTGCATGTATATAACCAAGTATCACATGATGTTGCTCTGTGTTCTAATCTGTGTTCACAGATTAGAATACAAAAAAAGGTGAAAATGTAAATGGAATGTTTAAAGTCAAACAAGTGATCTATTTACTTGCATGAACTTGTACACAACACTTCGCACAGGAAATCAGCTGACTTGTTCCATCTTCTTCAATAAAGCCATTTGATGGATAGTTTTCAGTGTTCTCCTCACTATAAATAAAACATATCTCTGGAATAAGTGGTTTTGTCTTTTCCTTGGTCACACACATTTCTCTTTGTTTTGTTTCTGAGTAAGTATAGTTTTCTTCATTAGATTTGTCAGCCTGAAAAATACATTTTAACAGAATGTTATTCACTGTTTTTCTTTTGTCGATAAGTCCCCACATCCTCCTTAAAAGTTAATAAAATCCAATTCTCATTAAAAGTGATTGCTTCTAAAATATACCTCACCACTTTTAATGTGTTGCTGTTTTGATGGCTATAAAATTAAGAACTTCATTTAAGCAGTCTAAATTTTTGCAATCATTTCTATCCTTACGGCTATTACTATACTCGGCTCACATTACTATTATAATTTTTTATAACATTTAGAGACACCAAATGATAATTTTGGTGTAAGCTAAATTTGGTGAAAGTCAAAAACAATCTCTATCAGGTGGCACTCAAAATACACAATATGCAACACACTGCAGACATAAAGCTATGCTAGAATCAGAGTGGAGGTCCTGCTTTCTGAGAACTTCATATACAAACAGGAGCTTCTGCAGAACTCTGGATCAAACTGTAACAGCAAAGTAATATACAAGTGGAGGATCCCTGCAGGAGGCATCTTATTTTCTCCTCTCCCACATTTTCATAACAACATAAGAGAAGCCAATGTTGGATCAGGCCAATGGCCCATCCAGTCCAACACTTTGTCACACAGTGGCCAAAAAACCCAGGTGCTATCAGGAGGTCCTCCAATGTGGCCAGGACACTAGAAGCCCTCCCACTGTTGCCCCCCCCCCCAGCACCAAGAATCACTTGCCCCAGACTGTGAGTTCCTATCTATACATTGTGGCTAATAGCCTCTGATGGACCTCTGCTCCATATGTTTATCTAATTCCCTCTTGAAACCGTCCATGCTTGTAGCAGTGAATTCCATGTGTTAATCACTTTTTGGGTGACGAAGTACTTCCTTTCATCTGTTCTAACTCGACTGCTCATCAATTTCATTGAGTGCCCACAAGTTCTTGTATTGTAAGAAAGGGAGAAAGGGAGAAAAGTACTTCTTTCTCGACCTGCTCTATCCCATGCAAAATCTCATAAAACTCGATTATGTCGCTCCTCAGCCGTCATTTCTCCAAGCTAAAAAGCTCCAAGTGCTTTAACATTTTCTTCATAGGGAAAGTGTTCCAACCCTATTATCATTCTAGTTGCCCTTTTCTGCACTTTTTCCAATGCTATACTATCCTTTTTGAGGTGTAGTGACCAGAACTGTACACAGTACTCCAAATGAGGCCGCACCATCCATTTATACAGGGGCATTATGATACTGGCTGATTTGTTTTCAGTTCCCTTCCTAGTAATCCCAAGCATAGTGTTGGCCTTTTTTATTGCAGTCACACACTGTCTCAACATTTTCATTGAGTTATCTATTACGACTCCAAGATATCTCTCTTGGTCAGTCTCTGCCAGTTCAGACCCCAGCAAAGTTAGGTTTTTTGGCTCCAATGTGCATCACTTTGCACTTGGCCACACTGAACCCCATTTGCCACGTTGATGCCCACTTGCCCATCCTCGACAGATCCCTTTGGAGTGCCTCACAATCCCCCCTGGTTCTCATCACCCTGAACAACTTTGTGTCATCTGCAAATTTAGCCACTTCACTGCTTACTCCCAAATCCAAATCATTAATAAATAAGTTAAAAAGCATCAGACCCAGTACTGATCCCTGTAGTACCCCACTAACAGTTTCCACCAATATTAGACAGACTGGCCTGTAATTTCCCGGATCTCCTCTGGAACCCTTTTTAAAGAATGGGAGTGACATTAGCTACCTTCCAGTACTCAGGAGGCACATTTTAATGTAAGATTACATATTTTTGTCAGGAGATCCACAAGTTCACATTTGAGTTCTTTCAGAACTCTCAGATGTATGCCATCTGGGCCTGGTGATTTATCAGTTTTTAAGTTGTCTATCAGTCGGACAACCTTCTCTCTCGTCAGCTCAATCTGACTCAGGTCTTTCAACACCCCTCCTGAAGTCAGCGGTTCTGGAGTGGGCAAGCACTTCTCATCTTCCACAGTGAAGACAGAGGCAAAAAATGCATTCAGCTTCTCAGCCATTTCCCTATCATCCTTCAGTACTCCTTTTACCCCTTGGTCATCCAAGGGCCCCACTGCCTCCCTGGATGATTCCCTGCTTCTCATGTATTTGAAGAAAGGTTTATTGTTGGTCTTTATGTTTTTTGCTATATGCTCCTCATATTCCCTTTTTGCCTGCCTGATCACAGACTTGCATTTTACTTGCTACAGCTTGTGCTCCCTTTTATCAACCACACTGAGACTAGCTTTCCACCACTTAAAGACTAGCTTTCCACCTTTTCCCCTTCCCTGAAAGCCCCAATAGCCTCTACCCTTTTCCTACTTCCTTCTTTCCTTCCCGCCTACCAGCCAACCTACCATTATCTGTCCCTGACTTCAGTTTTCCCTCTTTCGCTCCCCTGACAGTTGCTCCCTGGAAAAAACTCTGGCCAAGTTGTGCAGTGCCAGCTGGGGCAGGCCCAGAGGTGCACTGAGGAACCCCCAAGGACTTGTGCAGGGTTACCTCCTTTCCCCCATTTCCCCCTCCCCTGTATCCCCTCCCCACAATCTTTTCCTCTTCCTCGGAGCCCATGTATCCCCCACCTTTCCCTGCTTCCTTCTCTCCTTCCCACGCACCCACCAACCTACCTTTAATCTGTTTCCCTCCTTTAAATTTATTATTATTTACTTCATGTATACCCTGATTTTCTCCAGCATGGGGACTCAAAGCAAGTTACACAGTTCTCCTCCATTTTATGTTCACACCAATCCTGTAAGTAGTTTAGACTGAGTGACAAGTGACATTCCAAAGCAGAGTGGTGATTCAAACCTGAGTCTTCCATATCCTAGTGTGAAACTTTATTATTCACTACATCACACTGGCTTCTGTGGGGTGGAAGGTGTTAAACAGTAAGCCAGACCCTGGTGAGTCATGCAAGTACTGTGGTATCAAGTTGCTGTTGTGATTGCTACCAGGACTGGCCCTGATGAATCCTCCCTCAAAGGCCAAAATAATCCTGAGAGCCCTGCTACCCCTCGCCTTTTCCTTACAGAAACCAAGGAAAATGGCCCCAGAAATGCAAGCCTGACTAGCAACTATTTTCAAAAAGCTGTCCAACCCCCAGAAACAAGAGAAAGGGCAGTGTTCCTCGAGTTTCCCACTGGCAACCAACTCCCCCTCTGGGGCTCCAGATCCCAAAAAGGTACTGCAGAACATGAGCACACAGGCATTGATTTAAATCCCAGGGGCATTTATGTGGTTATGTTCATATTGCTAAGTGGGAGGAAAAAATGGTGCAGAAGCAGAATGGACAGTTCCCTTCCATAGTGGTTTGACTGCACGGGGGAAAGTCCAGACATCTGGAACTACGCTGGAAATCCATAAACCTTGAACTTTCCCAGGTTCTGAAAAGAATGTGACAGGAGAGTGGTGAGTACGGGAGGCCAAACCCTGGGGAACAAGATACAGATGTGGATGTCTGAACGTGCACTTTAAATCCAGCAACAACAATGGAGCAAATAGCACTTCTAACTGCACCCAAAGACAGGAAAATTGTGTGGCTTTGTCAGAAGCTAACATTCTGCAAGTATTTGCACTTGCTTTGTATTTTTCATATTTTACCACAAAACACATTTGTAAATATTTCTCATACATGAAGTTTCCTTACCTTGTAGTAAGGCTTGAGGAGTGTACATACAGCACAACATGGTTCCAGTTTGGCAACAGCTGCATTGTACTCTTTTTCAGCAGTAAAATTTGGTGTTCTCTTCTGCCAAAGGTAGACAAGAGGTTTGGCCCAGGACTCTGTTTCTTGAATTTCTTCTTCATTTAAGAGAGCCTCAGGCAGTTCTTAAAATAAAATGACAACTGAAAATGCTGTGTTCTGAGGATTATGGCAAGCAAAAATTTAAGCAGTAGTAAGAAGCAAATAGATGGCAATTCCACATACGAAAACAAATCCAGTAGAATAGATGTATTCAGAATGAAGAACACACCTGCATTACAAAGTAGAAAGGATAATTTACCCCTGTTTATCATAGGTGCTCAAAGCAACATGCCATCATGCCAGTCACTATTACACAAAGCAGTATACTATTTGGGGAATAAGGACTCACAAGAGACTTGGTTAGCACAGAATATATTCTAAAGAAATGGGCATCTCATAAAGCAGCATGAGATTAACTTACTTCTGATTAACACTTCTATTGCCTTGAAAAATTTAATGTTGTTCAGAATGCTGAAACATCAGATTCCTTCAGACCATGACCACACACATCTAGTTGACAAAAGAAAGTTTTTATAGATCTTTAATGATGAATTGCCCTTAATTTCTGCTGAAGTACAGTAAGCCAATTATAAAATAGCATGGTTTCTTTTCCTAATAGTCTAGGAAATGTTGCATAGACAAGTTTTCAACAAAATTCCTCTCTCAACTGCTTATTGAACAATTTCTCCTTAATGATGAAGTACTTGCCTACAGCTATTCTTCTTTATCCCACATGTAAGTTTAGAAACAGGGAAAGTATCACAGGATATGGAGACCCATGGCATCTGTACAGCAGTAGGGGAGTATGTGACAACCATCTGCAAACCTGACCTCTAAAATAATTTTAGAGAAATTTTACTGCTTTCATAATATGAAACTATACATATATCCTTTAACTATTTTCCAGACTTATAAATACTGAGGTCCACAGTGCCCCTATATAATAAATTTTGACTATGCTACTCTGTGGTCTAATGAATAAAACAAGAAATCCTGAAGAAAACACATTATCTTTACATTTAAGATGCATACAGTTCAGACAATTCATACTGGCAAGAAAAGTTTATTTCATATTTAAACTGATTTTCACTGTGTGTTTTTCCTCCAGCTAATGTGATACTTTATTTTAAGACACAGAGAAAAGATTAAGAGCTAAACATCCTCAGCTTTCAGTGGAAAGATACAGATATGATAATATACTTCATTCTAGTGTCATGGCAATGCTAAATCTTTATGTAAACCTTACTTGTGTGTGTATAGCTACTTGACAATGAAAGCAACTGGTATTTTCACACAAGGAACCATTATGTTACCCTTCTTCTGGATAGATATAGCCATCATTTTTTCTCTTGGGACATTTATCAGGTTACAGACTCATTTTTCTTATAAGCTTGCCATGGATCAGAATATATGACTAGAATCTGACAACAAAAAACCTACATGCCTACATCCTGTTAAATTTGCCACTCTGGATTAATAATTTGGTGGCGAATTAATCAAATAATTTTGTGACTCAAAATCTCTTGGATGTACTTCGATAGCCACAATACTTTCAGCCATAATTATTATTTTCCAAAATAAGACAACAGTGCATCAACAATTTATATATCAAAATAAAACCTTATGAAAACAAAGTAGCTTCCCCAGGCTATTAGCATCTGAATTCTCTGTGTCGCCTTGAATACAGAATGTACTAAAAAAAATTCCCAAAGCTGTAGAGAACTTTCTATCTGTATGCTAGTGCCAGATTAAAGTGATGAAAAACCTACTATTTTCTGTTTTTCAAATTATCTCATCAATATAAATGAGTTCTATTTTAGTCCTTGTCTACCCAGAAGCTTGTGCTTCATTTTCCTGAAGAGTATGCAAACATACAAAGAAAACATGACTCACAATGGAAATTATGCCACTCTAATCAAAACAACCGTGCCTAAGCACAACTTTTCACCTCTAACATAGTCATAAGATCTCATGATACTCAAAAACACAACTTATATAGTGACCTATCATTTCCAAAAACTCAAATGGACAACATTAAGAATAACAATATTTTAATGGTGGTAGTGGAAAGTGCCATTAACTTGCAGCTGACTTATGGCAACACCATAGGGTTTTCAAGGCAAGAGATGTTCAGAGGTGGTATGCCACTGCCTGCCTCTGTGTAGCAACTCCAGACTTCCTTGGTGGTCTCCCACCCAAGTACTAACCAGGGCTGACCCTGCTGAATGGCCAAAATCTCATGAGATCAGGTTAGCCTGGGCCATCGAGGTCAGGGCAATAGTTTTACAAGTCAACCCAGAAGTCTGCCAACTTGTAGGAGTGCAGACATCATGCTTTCATTTTAACTGAGTCCCAATCTACTAAAGCATGTCACATTCTCTGCTTAAACTATGAAAAAATCAATTTCTTGTAACATCAAGAATTGGATGGATCATCTCTTGGGTGACATCATATGAAATCATATGGTAGCACTGAGAAAAATATAAGCTAACTATCATAATTAGAATGGGTATATTTCATACTATAGACACCTTTTTGGCTATCATCAGTAAACAGGACTACAAGATTTCTGCATTGATTCAGGTATAATTTCAGAAAGTTCAGTATCTGGAAGAATAGATGATCAGAAGTATAACCATGTAGTCAGACTTCACAAATTAGTTTATGAAGCTCTCATGTGGCTAGCATGGCAGGATTTCCAGTCATGGTTGAAGGACATTCACACAGAAGACATTTTGTATTTGGAGGAAACAGTGAACAGCATAAGCAACCTTTGCTAAGATGTATGGACAGCTTTGCTGAAGGAAATCCTCGATACACCATCATGTTCAAGGATTATGGAGCTATTTGAAGACTACCACAATTACCTCAGATTTGAAAACAGAAGTCTGTCATCATTCTGGGTATCCTATCTGGACATGGTAGACCAGACAACAGAAGAAACAGTGAACAAGAATACGCATTCACCAGCAACAAAAGCATTAGTTAGACTGTAGACTAACCTGTAATGTTATGACCTTTTTAGGTTTATTATGCATAAGGATAAAGTTATTAGACAGATTTAGTTTTATAGAACAGATTTATAGATTGTGCTATAGAGCTTTTAATTTTGTTTCTATCTGCATTTCTACTGCACTGCATAACATTGTTTTCAAGGGGCAGTGTGCATATATAGCATATCATGAAATGGAGGCATGATAAAGAGTGACATATGGGGAAGGCTGCATAACCCCAACTTGCTCCTACTGCAAGCCAAAGGAGATTTATCCTTGGTTTACCAGGTTCAGAAAGAGTCTATCTGGGGAGGTCTATCCAAGGTGTCAGTGGGATTGATGGCTTGGCCACAAACTATTGCGTCGAGTTAGTGCTCTTCCAAACTATTCACAGTGCAAATGCCTTAAACCTGGGTAGGTGGAAAAACTCTTATTCCTTAAGATGAACTTCCTACTGCTGGCCCACCCCAAGGTACCCCTTGTGTAGGAGTGAGTGGAACATACTGGTCCATAATAGGCAGGGCATGTCCACCTCCAGTACCAGGTGTTCTCTGCTCCACTTGTACCATGACCAGTGCTGTCTTGATGACACTTGCATTGTCCGGAATGTCCAAATTGCAGTCATTTGCCAATACCAGCACAGCTGCTTAGTAAGTGTTGCTGTTGCTATGCTCTTGCTGCATCTACTCAGTTTCTTGAGGTAAGCACAGACATTGAAAGAATGTGGGTCCTTCAAAATGTCCTTCATGGAATACTGGAGATTTAACATTTCCATATTTTAAGTTACAAGGAAGACATCTGAAAGGTTGCAATTCCAAATTAAAAGCCTGAATGTTAGTGCATGAGTCATATGCCACCTAATGTTTCTCTTTCCCAGGTTACGTACCTCAAATATCTATAGCCTAATGCCAAGTCCGCATGGTCAAAGCAATGGTATTCCCAGTAGTCATGTATGGCTGTGAGAGTTGGACTATAAGGAAGGCCGAGCGCCGAAGAATAGATTCTTTTGAACTATGGTGCTGGAGAAGACTCTTGAGAGTCCCTTGGACTGCAAGAAGAACAAATCAGTCAATCCTAAAAGAAATCAACCCTGACTGTTCCCTGGAAGGCCAGATAATGAAACTGAAGCTAAAATACTTTGGCCACCAAATGAGAAGGGAGCACTCACTGGAAAAGACCCTGATGCTGGGAAAGATTGAAGGTCAAAGAAGACGGGGACGGCAAAGGATGAGATGGTTAGACAGTGTCAGCGATGCAACGAACATGAAATTGAGCCAACTTCGGAGGACGGCGGAAGACAGGAGAGCCTGGCGGGAGATTGTCCATGGGGTCGCGAAGAGTCGGACTCGACTGTGCGACTGAACAACAATGCCAAGATAGCATAATCCATGTCCTGGATGGGCAAATGGCAGGTTTTCAGTGGGATGGATACAGACTAAATTGGCAATTTCCATCGATTCTCCCTTCCCGCTGCAGTACCCCCTCAAGTTATTCCTCAGGGTCTCCTATCTTCCAGGAGCAGCATGTTGTGGAGATCAGTGAGCTGCAGTGAGAGGAGGAGGCAGGCCATTTGAAAAATGTAGTCTGCATCCAACTCTCTATCTGGTAGAAGTTTGGGGATCATGGTACTACCATGAAGAAATGCACATCAGCAATTACATGCATAGCTCACCTGGATGACTCTGACAAGGACAACTCTGAAGGAAATGGGTAATCATAATTGTCAAATGTTTTATTTTAGCTGTAACCAAGGTTAACAGCCATCCCCAGCCACAAAACTGCATAATCTGTAATTAAAAATGCAGCAATTTCACTTAACCCTCCCATATTTAAATCTTTTAATTACTTTACCAGATGGATTCTAATGTTAATATAGCCTTTTTGTATAAATTACTGGAGCACTCCGAAACCCACTCAATCTTGTCCCCTCAAGACATGCAAATATTACATAGATATAGATCATGGCTCTAAGCTGTCGCTAATTTGAGGAGAGATGCTTAACAGCTAATTGAAGTACTGTAGCTGGTGAACTTGTGGGCCAGCCCCAAAACTATAGATCTATCCAATTATTCACAGAATTATGGGAAAGA